GGTTTAGGGTCTAGGATTTAGGGTTATGATGATCGATGGGTGATGCGGATAAGGAGCGGCATTATAGACGTTATAGTCGTCGTGATTTTGATGCCAGGAGCATGATAGCTTTTCGTTAAGCCGATGATGCAGTTGCTACAGAGGTGCCCGCCATGTTCGATAGCATTTTTGACATGGGGGTTCATAAAACTCGGGGTGCTTTATATCGGGCAAACTGGGGGTCCTTATAGCAAAGGATGTGGATTGGGTACCTTATTTTCATTATTTTCAACAAACTGCCGCATTTGTCGAGGATTCATGGAAGGTTCCGTAGGGGAACATGGATCTTAGGACTTAGAGGTTCTTGCGCTGCGACTCCCATAATTGCTGATTCGGGGTACTATCTTCATAGACCGGAAGATCGTCGACTCTGCAGAAGAACAGGTATTTGGAGCAGCGGGACGGCATCGGTTCGGGTTTAGGGTTTAGGGTTTAGGGTTAAGGGGGGGTTTCAACACTGCTGGATACATGTACGGATAAGTTGAGTCAGCGCGAAACCAGAACATGCTCCGGCCAAGGAAGTCATCGCGAGAAGGCTGGAACGGTACCGGCAAAGCACCAGAATCAATACATCAGGGCCAGCAGCGTTTTCGGACGGAAGTCCAGTTTGGGCCTGTTCAGGGTGTCTGGTTTTGTTTGTTGAAAATTTCTTGTGGCACCGGAAGCAGGTCCATAGTGTAGAGCACTTTCCCCTGCATTCCTATTGGTGTTCGTGCTCTTCGTCGTAGCAAACATGCATGTCTCGTACAACATGCATGTCCTGGATTCTGCCTCGCTTCAGAACTGCTAAGAGCCATCGAAACAACTGTACTGCTTTTGCTTCGTCTATCAGGCTCCTGATTGTTACCCAGAGACTGCGGCTGGTGCAAGCACCATCTGCTCCCTGCTGCTACTGCTACTGCTGTTGCTGCCACTGCGGCAACAACACGACCACTACTCCTACTGACACTACGACGACGATACCACGACGCCGACCACGACCGCGACGACGATGAAGCCGACCACGACCACCACGACGACTACTAGAACCACTACTGAGTGCCACTATTGCTACTGTTAGAAGGCGAGTGGTTTCATGCCGTTGTTGCCACTACTGCCGCAACAAATGCGACGAGTGCTTTTGCTTGTGCTGCTGCTGCCGCCGCAACTACAACTGCTTCTGCTGCTTCAATTGCTGCTGCGACCAGTGGGACGAGCACTGCGCAGTGCAGGTGCTTATGCTGCTGCTAATGCAGATCCTCTCGCTACTATGGGGGCCTAAGTGCTTGCCAATAGCATTTTGGGGGATCCTTATAATAACTACTGTACAGCACACCCCACAACCCCATCCTAAACATTAGGGCCTATTCTTAGAGCCCCTACATGGGAGTTTCCGAAAATTAGGGCACCTTTTTCTGGGGTCCTTACAATAAGGATCCTACTATTTAGGGTACTATATTAGTGTCCCTATTTTCGGAAACCCCTACATGAGTCTTCCCATTCATCCCCGCCGGAGTCCCCGAAACCCTAAACCCTAAACCCTAAACCCTAAACCCTACACCAGGCCTCTTCGACGATTTCTGGTCGGAGCGGAAGTCGGAAATTACCGAACTCCAGGAGCGGTGCCTGTCGCAGCCAAGGGTTTAGGGTTTAGGGTTTTAGGGTTTAGGGTTTATGGGTTTAGGGTTTAGGGTTTAGGGATTAGGGTTGACAAAGGTTGCAAAAACGAAGTTGTTGCTGCTGCTGATGATGTTGATGTTGATGAGGTTGTCGATGGTGATAAGGCTGCTGGTCGTAGAAGTTTTGTCACGCCTGCTCTGACTTTGGTTGCGCTGGTGATGTTCAGAAGTTGGTACATGTCTGGAGTGAAGCTTGCAATCGCAGAGCAGGTGTACCTGCTACGCTGCAGAGCAGCGAAGCAGCATGGTTAAATCATGCATTGAAGACGATACGTTGTGTGCTGACCTCGTTTAGCCTGCTGCCCAAAGCTTCGATCCCAGTGGGAGAGCTCACAGGAAGACAAGTTGGATTATCACAATGATAACACAGTAAGGCTACCAAGTCTCAACCCTCATGCACCCTCAACCCTCAACTGCAGTTGGCGAGAAACGCTCGTACCCTCTGTCCTCGAATGGGGTCGGCCCGGTATGCCAGCCCGGCTCACGGCTGTGGACGGTGGTACCCTGGTAACTGAGACAACCCAGTCCGGTCTCCTTGTCGAGACCGCTCTCAAACAGCTACTCGCTGCAACAAAAATGCATCCGCAGCCGTTTACTTACACGATATATATAAACAGACTAGAGAACCCTGTAAACCCCTAGAATGCCACAAATGTTGTAAAGTCCCGAAAACCCTGAACCCTAAAGCCGAGACTGTGACGTGAGGAGAAAGGTACCTCGGCTTGCGGGGCGGTCGCCGTAAGTCCAGTCCCCACTCTTCTTAAACCCTAAACCCTAAACCCTAAACCCTAAACCCTAAACCCTAAACCCTAAACCCTAAACCCTAAACCCTAAACCCTAAACCCTTTCAGAAGCTTACCTTACCCGCTAAACCTGCCCTCCCTATGGGGATTTCTGACCAGATTGCTGAGAGGTTAAAGGGCCTTCAAAGAACCATCCTAAACCCCACCCTAAACCACAAAAGCCCTAGGCCCTACATCCCAAACCATGAAAGCCCTAAACCCTAAACCCTAAACCAGTTCTGGCAGTACTAGCCTTTCGGGACCCTCGGGCTTCGGAACAAGGAGTTCGATAAACCCTAAACCCTAAACCCTAAAACCTAAAAACCTAAACCCTAAACCCTAAAGCCTAAAACCTAAACCCTAAACTCTAAACCCTAAAACCTAAACTCTAGACCCTAAACCCTAAACCCTAAAACCTAAACCCTAAAACCTAAAACCCTAAACCCTAAAACCTAAAACCCTAAACCCTAAAACCTAACCCTGAAACCCAAGAGGACTGGCTGGACCAGCCCCCCGAGCGTGTGATGCTCCTCACGGGCCACCGCGGGAACGGACTCAACGAGATGGCCCGGAAGCTCGCAGGCTCTATCAGGGTTTAGGGTTTAGGGTCTAGAGTTTAGGGTTCAGGGTTTAGGGTTTGCTAGAGTCGTCTGCTCCCAAA